ACAGAACGGAAATATAATGGGAAAAATTCCAGCTAAGGCCTTAGACGGCCAGGAAGTGGTGGACAGTCCCATCAGTGGAGGAGCAGGCATGGGCACCAGCTCCTTGGGCAACTGTGGGTGCAAGGGAGAGCACGTGTGTAGTGCCCAGCACGAATGGTCCCACCCAGGACGACTCAATAAGTGCCATCTGTCATGGTTACTACTGCTTTGCTCTTTTCTCCATAGAATAAGCAAAGTGTGTGTGCATGTGTGACAGAGGGAGAGAGACAGACAGACACATGTACACTCGGTTGGTATAGACCACATGTGTCAAACACAAGGCCCGCGGGCCAAATCCGTCCCGCCAGGCCTTGCAATGTGGCCCGCACCGCGCTGTCATCACTGCACTCCACTGAGTTTCTATCACAATGACAGTTTATGACTGTTCAGTAAACCATTCGGCCCGCGATTTAGGCTGGATTTTAGATTTTGGCCCCTTCTCTGATTGAGTTCGACACCCCTAGTATAGACTTTGGAGATAAACATGGGTAACAAAAGCCACAAAAAAGTACTTAGCTTCGGTCAGCAATGCCATTTCTACTCTGTCTAGACACATGCACACGATTCATGCACAAGGAAAATAAAAACATGAAAAACTGAAAATAATCTTAATGTTCAACTATTCGGGTATTAGTGGTTGTTTAAATTGTGGCTCACTGTAAGAATACAATAAAACCATTAAAATCATACTTTCGCAGTGTATGGAATGGTTTAGGGAAATGCTAACAACACAGTAAGTAAAAATACATAAAAGTTTGACCCCATTCTATAATTCTATACCTGTACATGCACATAGCTTACTAGTACATAAGATCACAGGACTTCATTAACAACAGCCTTCCTACTTAATAACACAGGAGCAATATTTTCTCCTTTGTAATTTTCAACTATTCAAATCATTAACACCAATGACTTTTACAATCAGGAAAAGGTTACCATAAAAACATCCCTTATAACAGCGGCACAGCCTGCAATGCCAACGCAAGCATATGGCTGAATCTGTCCATACACAACCTCTAGGGAGGCCCAGGGCCCCAGATCCTCCTCTTCCTCCCACTGATGCTCAGGACACATTACCAGTGGGTTGTTCCTTTGGGGGTGCAATGGATTCACCACTTGGGATGTTCAGGAGGAGGGTCTGTGGGTATGGTTCTGTAAGTGAACAACTAAAGAGGAGGGCCACCATCTGGGTGAATGTGGCTGACTGAACACAGGCCTGACCTCCACCGCCCTGAAAGCACCTACAGGGACAGAGGAGAGTATTTTTTAAATAGATACAAATCCACAGACTGCAGAAACTGTTGGACTGCAAAGCAAGTGAGTGAAAGAAACACCCAACTGGGAAGGCTGTGGCCTCCACCTGGGAAACAAGACAGTACTACTCCCGGTAGCTCCCAGACAACGTCAACACTGCTTCCAACTAAAGATGTTCACATATGGCTACCAGTGAAGCTAAATGTTTGATGCATTACCAACACAAATATAAGTATCTGAAAAACATGAAGACAATATTTCTGTAAATATATATTTACAGAAACATCCCTGCTTATGGCTGGAGATAGCGAGATGTCACCCCTGATAGAAGGTAGCTAAGATGATGAATTGGCTTACTGGGGTCCCCAGTGTCCTGCCCCTTCTTCCTGAGTGCACCTAATTCCTGTCAGAGTCACTGCTGTCCTGGTCCCCTGTTCCCTCTGAATGAGAGTGAGCATCACTCCTGCATGCACTCTGGCTCTGTTGCTGCATGTCCCCAGTACCCATTCCCTTGGATATATTCCCAAAGGAATTCTGACCTTAGCTATGAGACCTGCGTTAGCCAGTGGGGCAGTAACATCCTAGACTGAAAACACACTTGTTTTTTTGCTGAGGTTGGAACTCTGAAACAAGCAAATAATCCCCTGGCCCCTAACAGCCTGCCAAACATCAGACCAGAGAGTGAGGCAATTATAGGTCACCCAGCTGCTGCAGGTACAGAGAGAAATCCCAGGCCTGAAGAACAGCTTAAACAACCCTCAACATACAAAATGACTACTGTGGTAAGTGCTATATTTGAGGTCATTTGCTACACAGCAAAACTTAACTGAGACACTTCTACAATACAGTCCTTGCAGTTCTATAAAACGATAAGCATCACCACACAAGCAGGAGAGACTTAGTGAGGCTTAGATGCTAAAATCATTTCCCCTTTGCATGAAATGAATATTTAAATTATTGATCCCAATCTAAAGATGTAATAAATTCCAATTTCAGATACTTGGAAATAAAAACAAACAAACATGTGATTATATCATTATACTTAGAAATAGCCGCTGACAACCACAAATGCAGTCATCAGTGAGTGGCCACTGTGAGAAGAGCTCCAAGGCCTCTCAAACTGTGGGACTGGCTTGCATCAGGGAAGAGGGACGTAAGCCAATGGGAAGGGAAAAATGATTCATTCCAGGGAAACCCCAAAGCTGTATCAGGAAGGGCACGTGGTCCCTGGGTGCCAAGTGTGAGCAATACGCACACACGGTGACACAGGAAGGGAGATTCTAAGTAGGTCTTTAAGCAGAGCGAAGTCTAAGTATAGTAGTAAGTGGCCCCAAGAAGTGGCCATGTGTATGTGTGTGAAGGTTGGGACAACAGAACCAGTTCTTCCCTCAAGTGGGAAGTCGTTCGCTGGTTTCGCTCCTGTAGGGAGAAAGCTGGCTGTCTAAACAGGGAATGCTTGCCTGATGAGGTCTAGGGGCAGGAAGGGGAAGCTTTGTTGGTTAACCCCATGTTACTTTTTTATTTGAAACACTAGAAACACATATTTCTTTGATAAAATAAAAAGAATTAAAACTACAACAATTCCCAAAGCAGCAAATCTAGAAAAGTCTTTGAATTAGTGCTATACCAGTTGATGAAAGTTCACAATTTCTGGGGACAGATATTCTCCATGCCCCAAACTCTGGCTCTTCACACCCTGCCTCAGGTACAGTGCTCACTGGGACCTTGTCCAGGGAAGGAGAGAACTACCATGCAGGATGCAAGCAGGAATGTGGTACCTGAAGTATTATAGCCTGACTTGCAGAGAAACTGTCAAGGTCACTCGCAGTACTGACACTGAGAGCTCATTAAAGATCTTCTGCACCCAAAGTTAACAATTCAAGTCATATTTTAAAAAATGATTCCCTTCTTATTTACAAGTTTCTACTCAAATTCACTGATGATTTAATGGCACTAATTAGACTGTGTGCTCAAGAGCTCTGTCTGGCAAACACGACTGCCAAATGTCATTAACCATATGACAGCTTAGGAAGAGGGTTTAAATCATCAAAACAAAAGCCGCTGATGTAATGATACAATTACAAAGTTTAAACAGCTTTTATGATCTCCATTTTAAATGGAAAAATAAATGATTAAAATGCAGACACATGTGACCTTAAGATTCTTCCTGTATGTGGAGAACCAGGCCTGAGCTCTCTTGGTGACAAGGGCTTGAGGAGCATCCAACAGCCAGCCCTGCCCTGCACAGGTTGGCATGAGGACTCGGGAAGACACCCTTCCATCTCCATGGCAGGCCAAGTGAGGACAGGAACAGGGTCAGGAAACTAGACCCAGCTCAGTCAGAGGACCAGGCTGCGGGAAGCCCGCTTGCTTTTTGACAGCAGCACCTCCCACTCAAGGGTCTTGATTCTTGCTGCTTTGATGACCTGACATACACAGGGTTTGTTTATTTCTCAAAATCTCATTTTTTTCTACAAGCTATTAATTCAACAAACTCCTTCATGAGACATGTTTAATGCCGGTTGGCACAAACCATGCCTGCAAGGTAGGACACTGGCACTGCTGTATTAGTGCATGACGGCAGGAGTATGAGGGGACAATGCAATTCCACAGGTAGCTATTTGAAGTCTTCCGACAGCCAGTTATAGCTGTGTTGGGCCTGCAAACCCATGTCCACATGGGGAGGCCTGGATATGTGACTGATAGAGACACACAATGAGGGGCCCACCTTTGGGAGCACACACATGCACTCTGTGTGCTTTGGGGCTGCTAGAGATAAGGACCTGAGGCCTCCTGCCCACAACCACATGTGAGCTTGGACATGGATCCTGTGGTCTTGAATGCCAGCTTGACTGCAACCTTGTGAGAGGCCTGAGTCCCAACCTCCAGCTAAGCTGCTCTTGGGTTCCCGACCTACAGAAACTAGAGGATAATACATATCTGTTGTTGTAGCTGCTAAGTTGCAGGGTAATATGTTACATAGAAATAAATAACTTACATGACATGGTTTTTTTTGCTTTGTTTTAACATGGCTTACTAGGAAATGTAAAATTACCTACATAAGTGTAATGTACCCTGTATATTTCTATTGGGCAATGCTGCTCTTCATGGCTCGAATATCATGAGAGCTTATCAGGACCAGCACATCACATCAGGACTGTCACATTATTATACCTGCACTACGTGTCACTAATACATGTTTCTTTCCTATGTGTTTAATTTAAAAATCTGGGATATGATTAGATACTTGTAGAGAATAAGCCCTCCCCCAAAAAGGTTTATGTTAGTTTTTCTTATTCTATTTAAATATAAGAAAATGTTAACATCTCTTTCCAGTTATAAAAGATCAGTAGGACAAAATGAGAAGAGGTAGACACCACCCAACAGATAACCTGGGTTACTATTCCTACTAGTAATTTTCATATTTCAGGACATGTATTAACAGGTGTAAACAGATTGGAAGCATTCTCTGTTTTAAGTATATCTAACACTGGGATTTTAGACACTGTTTCCACTATATACTATATCTGCCTTAATTTACTTGGCCAACACCCTGCTGCTGAAAATACAGGTATCCAGTGATGTGTCATCTGGACACGGTGAGGAACGTCCCTGTCTATGAGTCCTAGTGGTGCAGCTGGTTGCTAGGGACCATGCTCAGCAGCTAGGATCACGGTGCGAAAGCATGTGCTGGAACCAGGACTTACCTTGATGTGCTCGTGCAGCTGGGCCTCGTGCTGCCGCGACAGCTGTTCGTGCTGCCTTTGGAACTCTGCGATGAGGATCTGCCGCTGCAGCTGCTGCTTCTGCTTCAGAGCCAGGAGCTCTTGCTGCAGCTGCTGTTCCCGAAGGGCGGGCTCCGCCACAGGCAGCGGGAACTGGTGGTCCAGGCGCAGGTCCATGGGCACCGCGGAGGGAGCCACCTGCAAAGGCAGTGCCGAGGCCACATCCACTGCAGAGAGAGCACAGCACAGAGCATGGTCACTGCAGGCCACAGAGTCCCCGCCTGAGCAACTACCCAGACCCTTAGCAAGCAGCAAGGGGTATCCACATGCTGAAGGACAGTTCACATTTCAGATGCCACTCCCCAACTCTTGCCCAAAAGGCTCACAGTGCAGGACTCAGCAGCCTATGCGAGGATCTACTCCTCAAGTACAAAAATCTCATCCATCATGAAGGTGAGACCAGGACACATTCCTACGCACTGCCCCCTGCTCTCTCACAGGATGCTACTGTAGGCCCACCACCTTTTCTGAAAGCAAGTTTGAAAATCACAACAAGAAAAGGGAAGAAAGGCTCTGGAGAGGGTTGAACAGTACTAATATTGAGGCTGACTGCGGTGTCGCTTCCTCCTTCTCTCCAAGTCACTGAAGAGCTGTGCTGGAAACACAGAACAGTGTGTGCCACAGAGTGGTCCAGATAGATGCTCAGGACGAGGGCCTGTTTCCATGGCGAAGCGAGTGCCCTTCTCAGCAAACATATTTATTGGCTGCAGCCCATGGAGTGCCTCCGAGCTGACCTGCACAGGCACATGCATGAGCCGGGTCTGCTGCATAGAACCCACAGCCTCTTCTAGGCTCGAAGGCTGGCCGAGGACAGCACCAGTGACTGAGATCAGAAACAGCAGCAGAATCAATCTTTTTTTTTTAATAATATATTTTATTAATTTTGTACAGAAAGAAAGGGAGAGAGATAGAGAGTTAGAAACATCGATGAGAGAGAAACATCATTGATCAGCTGCCTCTTGCACACCCCCCTACTGGGGATGTGCCTGCAACCAAGGTACACGCCCTTGACCGGAATCAAACCTGGGACCTTTCAGTCCCAGGCTGACGCTCTATCCACTGAGCCAAACAGGTTCTGGCAGAATCAATCTTAATGCTGACAAATCAATACCAAATTAAAGTGAGATAAGGAGCACGGGAGGAATGTAAGCTTTTAATTATGGACATCACAAGATAATTCAAGGTAGGTGCTCCTGCTGGGACAGGTTCCTACTTTGAAAATACATGAATACAGGCTTGCACTGTGGCCCAGAGAACCTTCCATAGTGGTACTCAGGCACACTGTGCTCTGCCCCCCTTCCCCCCTCCCCCCGCACATGGACTTTGCTCATAAAGCCCCTGAACGAGCTGAGGGGAGGGCATAGCACAGAGACCCACAGCTTCCCTGTCACTTCCAGAAAGGTCCCCCCTATCTGCTCTAGGCCCATTTCTTCATCAATCAACAAGCACCAGACCTGGGGACCAGGGCAGGAGAAGGAGGCCTTGCCCTGAAGGGGGTTACAAAACTCAGATGGGAGCCCCAATTCAATAGGCCAGGGCCACCAAGTACCAGTTCTCTTACCTATGGGCTATCTCTGCCTAGACTAGACCCTAGCACAGGCCAAGTTATGCATATGACTTCGTCCCAGAGTCTGCCTGGAAGTAGTCACCTCCACTGCACAAATGCCTAGGACCTCGCCCTCAGGCCACAGAGTCCTCCAGTGGCAGATAAACAGTTCCTGAGGAGTCCTGTGCTCCCAGCCCTATTCCCATGGGTTCTGGTAAAAGAGTCCAGCGCATAAGTGGAACCATGCCCTCGGTGCAGAGCATTTCTGTGGTCATGGCCCAGGTGGCAGGTCCCACACTGGCCTTTCTGATAAGCAAGGTCAGGGAAGGCAGGGGCTGAGGGAGAGGCTGGCTGTGTGGACGCCCTGTGTTCTGACCCCGAGCCGACACAGGCAATGTGCTCTGAGCACCATGTCCTAACAAATGTGTCATCTGACTGCAGTGCATGGTCATGGAGGCAGAGCCCAGGATACTCTCACCTCAGCATCCGAAGCAGCTATAACACAGAATGCCCAGAGGGAGACCAACAAATTCTCCACACTTGGTCATTTTAAGAAGCTATCCAACCTCCATTCAACACTAACAAGCAGGGGTAAACACCAGCTGACTGTTTCTCTTCTGTTCCCCAAATCAGTGAAGTGCAGCCCCTAACTTTTTAAATGTTTGCATTTAAATGGTATCAGGCTTGACCTATTAAGAGGTTTTTATTTGATCTTTATGTGATAAAATCTATATAAACTGTGTTTTCATGAACAGGCCCAGGGAAAAGTGGTATCCCACCCACCCCCACCACATACAACTGAGAAGACTGTATTTTATTAATCTTCCAGCTTTTTTGTTTTGATCATTTCATTATGAAAATATAGCAAACTGGATAAACAGGGTAAATAATACCAGTTTAAGAAAAAAAAATCTCTGGTAGGGGATATGCGGGAGGCAGCTGATCAAAGTTTTCCTCTCTCATCCATATTTCTCTCTCCCTTTCCCTTCCTCTCTCTCTAAAAATCAATAATAATAATAAAAAACAAGAACAAAAAATAAAGGGTTCCTTTTTATTAACCATACTTGTGATGGGCCACCATGTCCATGCACGTTTATCTGATGCTAGTGTGCGGGGCCTCCTGCTCCACGCTGGGTGCTTAGTGTGTGGGGCCTCCTGCTTCATGCTGGGTGCTGGACACAGACCCAGGCCTATAATGGGACACCAGATTGGGGTGGTGTGTGTGTGTGTGTGTGTGTGTGTGTGTGTGTGTGTGTGTGAGGGAACGGGGCTGACGAAGGCCCAGAGAAGGCCTATAAGGGGCTGCATCTCCCTGACACAGAAGAGGCATCATGAGCAAGGAACCAGGGGTCTGGGAGCATGTGTGGAGGTCATGGGGACTCTGAGGCAGAAAAGCTCATATTCCTTGCCCTGTGGCTGCCCCCTGGGCAGGGAGGCAGAAGGTGTATGAACATGGCAGTTGGGGGAGTGGCTGTAGCTGTCCCAAGCCCTGTCCTGCACACCAGCTGCTGAGAGAAGTCACAATCCCCATTCATCCTAGCCTCCAGGGGGTGCGTCAGACAAGACTTGTACTGATTCAGTATCAAAAACTAGCTGAAATGCATGAGTTCCCAGTAGAAGTTGCTAGTGCCTCTGACCCAGAGCGCCCTGAAGAAAACAATCAAACCTTCTCTACTTAAAAAATGCAGCACCAAAACAAAAAAGCCTGTATTCCCATGAATATTTTATGGTGGAGAGAAAATTGCTTGTATAGGTTGTGCCATGAGAAATACATTAACACAATCAGACTCGTGACGTCAGCAGAAGCACAAAGAGCACATTCAAGGCCCAGTAAGAAATGCAGGCTGTGCTGTTCTCAACCACAGAGAGAAGAAATCTGGGGTACTCTGTTTCTTTATTTAGTAAGTGATCATAAAGGACACTGTCACTTTCCATGGTTAGGTCCTCTCTTCACACACCATGCCATGCTATCGTATAGATGCGAAACACAGAGAAGCACTATTCCTCAGAAAACCAGGCCAAAGTTCAGGGTCCATTCAAGTGAAGAATGAGTCATTCAAATCCAGGGAAAAATAATAGATATTGAAACTATGTAACCACGATTTCCTCTTACTCTGACATTTTAGCTATCTGGGGAGGTGGAGAAAGTGAGGAAAAAGAAGATGGGGTAAATTAGAGATGTAACTGAAAAACGTGTTCCCCTATGGCTGTGAAATGTGTCCAAACACTGAAAAACATGTATTGGGATAAAGAGTGATGCCGGCCGAAACCGGTTTGGCTCAGTGGACCGAGTGTCAGCCTTCGGACCGAAAGGTCCCAGGTTTGATTCCGGTCAAGGGCATGTACCTTGGTTGTGGGCACATCTCCAGTAGGGGGTGTACAAGAGGCAGCTGGTCGATGATTCTTTGTCATCGATGTTTCTAGCTCTCTATCCCTCTCTCTTCCTCTCTGCAAAATATCGATAAAAAAATATTTTGTTTTTAAAAGAGAGTGATGCCAGAGGCCCTGGGTGCTCTGCACGTCACATGCCCGCCCAATATTCTAACCTTGTCAGGTAGCCCCTTGCTTTTATTTTTTATGTGTTTTTATTTTTATTTTGTTAATCCTCACCTGAGGATATTTTTCCATTGATTTTTAGAGAGAGTAGAAAGGAGGGGGAGAGACAGAGAGAAACATCCGTGTGAGAGAGTTACATCGATTGGTTGCAACCAAGTACATGCCCCTTACCAGGAATCAAACCCAGGACCCTCGGGTCTTCGGGCTGACACTCTATCCATTGGGCCAAGCTGGTCAACAAACTGTGGCTCACAAGCCACATGTGGCTCTTTGGCCCCTTGAGTGTGGCTCTTCCACAAAATACCACGACCTGGGCGAGTCTATTTTGAAAAAGTGGCATTAGAAGAAGTTTTAAAAAATTGGCTCTCAAAAGAAATTTCAATCCCTGTACTGCTGATATTTGGCTCTGTTAACTCATGAGTTTGCCAACCACTGGGCTAGGACATCCTTGACTTTTCTTTATAGTTATAAACCATCTGTGTTATTCCTACACATGTGTTCCTTAATAAAAGGAGTACAAATGCAATGGCATGATAGGGTGTTAATGGTTCCCAGGAAAAGATAAGCAGTCTGGAGTCTGGTCTGCCAGCAGCCTGAAGAGTGGACAAGAGTGTCTTCTGTGGAGAGTTGTGAGTGTCCCCAGGACACCAAGGGCCACTCACTCTTATTGTGGCATTTGGCAGGGCAGTCACATGGACCCAAATTGCTCTGCACACCTGCTTCTTGTGCTCAGGTATGAGCCATGAAGGCCTGTGGAGAGACATGTGTCCTCAGGGAAGTGGGGCAAGTGGGACAGATGTTCCAGACAGATCAGGAGCAAGCTAACAAGAGTCTGGACAGGCTTGCCAGTCTCTGTCTACAGGCCAAGGCCCACGGAGCACAGGCAGCCTTGACGGTCAGCCCTGCCTCCACACACCTTCTCAAAACCCAAGGGCTCCACCTTGCCAGGTAACCCAGGGCCTCCTGCTCGATGGCTTGGTAGTCCCTTGTCTCTGTCCTTGACTAAATCTCTGGGTTTCTTTGGCCAACTCATCTTTCTCTGTCTACTCTCTCATCCTGAGGGAA